ATTCCTGTTGTTCCTGAAGTGTAGATGTAGAAGAGGCGATCTAGAAGAATGGAAAGAGGCATCAGACAGAGTGTTCTCAGCTGCCTGAGAAGATCCCCACAGCCTTTGGTTGGTGTTTTTGGCTTTGTTCACAGCAGCTGAGGGACAGCTTTTTGAGCTGCTAACGTGGAGCTGCAGCCTGATGGACAACCTGCGTGCTGTCCATACCAGCAGCTACAGGCACGTGTACAAGGAGGGTGCAGAGCTCCGAGGACACGACCTCTGTACCTTCACACAAGTTGTCCTGGGACTAGATCAGCTCCTCCAGGTTCAACTTTAATTCCAAATCAATCAAGAAGGTAAGTCTCAACCTGTGGCTGATGGTAGGGCAGGTATCCAGTGCTTAAAATACATAACCCAAAGGAAAAGCCTCTTTAGCAGCATCATTTCTCCTACTGTAAAGGAAGGACCAAAGTGAGTCTCATGCCTCAGGGTTCTCAGATGCTCTTAGTTGTCTTAAAGTGTGAAATCCAGCCTGGAGGCCACTTGGCATCTTCTCTCTCCCGAATCCCAACCCCAGCAATGCTCATCCTCACAAGCCAGGAAAGGTGTCCCTTGCCCACAAGTGAGGAAAGATGTTCATTCCCCCATTGTGGGGGCTCTTAAACGCTAGAGATGAACTGCCAGCACGCTGCCTGCTTCACCCCCACATCCCTGCTCCCCTGTCGCCAGCGGGTTGCCTTTGGGAAGGCACCAATCTCCCTCCTTCAGCTACTGAAGGTTCCTTATGTAAAGCTTGGGAGTTGCAGAGAATGAGAAACTGAACGCAGAGCCCCTGGAACCAGGATTTGGGGTTTGTTTCCTCTTTTTTCCCCTCCCTTCTTCTATTTGTGAGCCCAAAGTGGTGGATTCATTCCCTCCACCTTGCTGCGTCCTTGCTTTGCTGTCACACACGTCGCACCGAGGACGCAGAAGCCTTTATTACCATCTAAACCTTTGCCTGGAATCTGAGTTGGGGCTGACTTCGAGGCAGTGCTCAGGAGAGGATCGAGATGCCTGGTCTCCACAGGAACAACAGCTGGGTTGTAGTCCCCAGAGCAGAACTTTGCCATGTTCTTCCCCAGCATCCCATTCACTTCACATATTGCTGCAAGACAAAGCAAGTCATTTTTGCAACACAACCAGAACGCTCCAGGCAGTGGCAAAACTAACCTGTTCAGCAGCTGCTTGTGCCCCAGATCCACAGGTCTTCCAAAACATAAAGGGGCCAACAAGAAACCTGGAGAGGGGGTTTAGACAAGGGGTGGAGGGACAGGCCAGGGGGAATGGCTTTAACCTGCCAGAGGGGAGATGGAGATGAGCTCTGAGTCAGAAGCTCTTCCCTGGGAGGGTGGTGGGACACCGGAATGGGTTGAAGGGAGGTTTGGCTGCCCCATCCCTGGCAGTGTTCAAGGACACAGGGGCTTGGAGCAACCTGCTCTAGTGTGATGTGTCCCTGCCCTGGGCAGGGGGTTGGAGCTGGATGGGCTTTAAGGCCCCTTTAACCCAACCCATTCTACCTTTTGTAACCAGGACATTTATGAACCTCCCGAACTTTTCATGCCTCCAGCTGCCTTTGGGGGTTTTGCTTACTCGAGCTCTGCCTCATCCCGCCCAAGCGAGGAGCTCGGGAGTGACCACACGGTGAGTGACCCACCTGAGGACAGCTCCCCTCCGAAGATGACAGCTTTGGCCCCCGAGGTCCTCACGCAGTAAACCAGGGAATCGAGGCGCAGGTTGAAGTTGATGAGAGCTGCCTCGAGGCCGATCTTTGCCATCCCCAGCCAGAGGCCAACGAATTCGGGGCGACTCTCCATGAAGATGGCGATGACGTCCCCCACCCGGAAACCTTGCTGGTAGAAGCAGTTGGCCACGGCGTTGGAGTACTCATCCAGCCTCCTGAAGGTCCACTGCTCGCCAGTGGCTTCGTAAATCAGGGCCACTTTGTCAGGGTGCCTGAGGACAACCTCCTGGAACATCTTGGGGACGGTGCTTTTGGCTTTCTGAAGCTGTCGCAGCTTGTACTTGACACGTAAGAGCACCGAGAGGCCGCTGCAGCAGAGACAAAGCACAACGAAATGGAACTTCTAATCCCTGCTGCACTGGGGAAGATGTTCGTATTATGGCAAATAAAGAGGATACAGCAACTGTTCTGGAGCTTTCCATGCTATAAACCACAGGGAATCCATCTTCACGTTGATGCCGCTTCAAACAAGCCCATTAAAGAGGGTAAATGACATCTTTTAACAATATATTCTGCCATCCTAAAAGGAAAAAAGACTTGGCAACCTTTCACCTACACAGGAAGCAAACATGCTTCCCATGGGAAGTGTCGTTCTTGCCAGTTTAATCTGCAGCACCTTTGTATGAAGGAGCACGCTTGTGGCTCCAAAAGCATGGAAAGGCCAAAGCCATCCTGACCCTTTGATAACAAGTGGCCTCAGCTTCCGAAAACCAAAGCCAAAGGTTTCTCCTTCCCCCTGCAAGCAGGAGCATCCTCCTGTGACTCCATCCCTGCCGCAGTCCCGGGATGAAAGGAAGCCAGGCTGCCTGAATACCACCAGCCAGAGATTTATCACCATAACAATTCCCATCTAAAATATCACATATTGATCTAGAATGTAACAGATTATTATTACTGCTGCTATTGTTGGGCAAGCTCCTTGAAAGCCAGGGCTACCTTACCAAGAAGAACTGCTACGTGGCTACGCAACACCCTGCTCAATGCCAGAACAAAGGCGATTGTGCCAATGAGGTGGAGCTTTTCCTTCCCTAATTTGTGATTTTGGAATTTATGGTTTAAAATTTACGGTCATTAGAAGTCTCCAAGGCGGCAGCTGCAAGTCAAACCTCGACACAGTTCAAGCTGGATGGCAAGTTGCTGTCTGAACTTCAGCTGTCTCACTTCACTGTCTTTAGGGGGTGCTTTGGCTGCCGGCTACAACTTAGATATGAGAATGAATTCATTAAAGAATACCAGAACACCAAAATGAGGACAACAGCAGGTCTGGGTACACGGAACAGATCCTGTTTCCTTCCCAGAAGTAGGCAGTATTTTTCCAGCATTAAATTAGGAAACTGTTGTGCAATAAGGGGCTTGGAAAGATCCCCAGAACCTCCAAAGGTCATTTAATATTAGCGCTTTAAAAGCCCCGCAACTCTCCAAGCTGAATGTCAAGTGCAGGGGCTGGACAAAGCCCCACCAGAGGGGGAAGGGCATTTCAGAGACGAGCTGTTGGCAGCGGCCAGGCAGAGCTGGGCTTTCACGGGGACCTGAGCCTGCCCTGTGCCAAGCAGGGAACAGAGGAGCCTTTTCAGCGCTCAGCTGCACTTTCCACACACTCAAAGGGCTTTCATCTGGCCACTTTATTCCCTGACATTATTCCCAGCTTGCCGGGCCATCGGGAGGAAGCAGCTCTTCAAGCGCAGTGACAGCCCCAGAGAAGCTGGCAACGGCCGGAGCCTGGAATCCTCCGCAATAAAGGCACA